TCATCGAGTGCTGCAGTATGCGGAAAGATCACCGCATACTGAATGTTCTTCCCTTTTCACACCATTCTTTGTAAACCCTAGAAATGGTTGTGTGTGGAAATCCCAGTAACTGAGTAGATTGTGAAATACTCAGACCGGCCCGTCTGGCACCAACAACCAAGTCACACTCAAAATTCTGACATTCAGTTTGGAGTTCAGGAGATTGTCTTGACCAGGACCACACCCCTAAATGCATTGAAGCACCTGCCATGTGATTGGTTGATAAGATAATTACATTAATGAGAAATTGAACAGGTGTTCCTCATAATCCTTTAGGTGAGTGTATATATGATGTATAGGTCCCTGTTATTTAAAAATACCAATGACTTGGTCATTTGTGAACTGTACTGATCCACTGTCAGCGGTCCTCCAGTCAACTACTGAAGTGGAGCAAAGTATAATTTTATGCTTTGGAATGTAGTGAAGTAAAAGTTTTCCAAAATAAAAAGCCTAAATAAAAATAAAAAAAAGATTAAGCACAGATTCTTGTGAACAAAAATGTACAAATACTTTGTTACTGTATCTAATACAGCAATCGTGTCAGGACAAAATATTATTAAAATCAGCAGTGCAGCAGCTAATACTATGTATGAATAAAAGTTTTTTGAAATATGGTAATAGAACTCTTAAAGGAGAACTCCGGCGAACAATGAACCTTTGGTCTAATAAAACATCGGTACCTAGTCAACCGTTCTCTGAAATTTGTTTTCATGATAATCGAATGTAAAGAGTTTTATCTCTAAAAACTGTTTAGCGTATAATGCTAGTAATGGGGGCATTGACTAAGTAAAAAGAAATCGCTAGTTTATACCACTAACAAGGCTCAAAATAGCCCCACACTAACACAGTAACATAAGGAGGGTCCATACATACAAAACGAAGCATTGAGAACTTTGTAAGTGTACAGACCGTTTAATAAGAAGATACTTTATGAAGACAGTTCACTTCGCGTATACAGACAGGAGCCATCTTAAAAAATAGTCTCGATAAATCGAACCACGAACGTCGTGCTGAGTGATCTGAACTCTATGAAGTTCAACGAACTTCTGAACTGTATTTATGGCGTTCGGGGATTGACTTATCGAGACTATTTTTTAAGATAGCTCCTGTCTGTATACGCGAAGTGAAATGTCTTCATAAAGTATCTTCTTATTAAACGGTCTGTACACTTACAAAGTTCTCAATGCTTCGTTTTGTATGTATGGACCCTCCTTATGTTACTGTGTTAGTGTGGGGCTATTTTGAGCCTTGTTAGTGGTATAAACTAGCGATTTCTTTTTACTTAGTCAATGCCCCCATTACTAGCATTATACGCTAAACAGTTTTTAGAGATAAAACTCTTTACATTCGATTATCATGAAAACAAAACTCAGAGAATGGTTGACTAGGTACCGACGTTTTATTAGACCAAAGGTTCATTGTTCGCCGGAGTTCTCCTTTAAAGGGTTAGTTCACCCAAAAATGAAAATTAAGTCATTAATTACTCACCCCCATGCTGTACCAACCCCGTAAGACCTTCGTTCGTCTTCGGAACACAAACGAAGATATTTTTGATTAAATTTGAGAGCTGTATAACTACCACATAGACTGCCTAAGGGACTGCCTCTTGACGGCCCAGAAAGTCAATGAAGAAAATGTTTAAATATTCCATGTGACTACAGAGGCTCAACTATAAGTTTATCAAGCGACGAGAATACTTTTTGTGCGAAAAAACAAATTTGTGTTTTGTGTTCCGAAGACGAATGAAGGTCTTACGGGGTTGGTACAGCAAGGGGGTGAGTAATTAATGAGTTAATTTTCATTTTTGGGTGAACTAACCCTTTAACAACCCCATGCCATATTATCCCCATTGCTGACATATTGACATAGGAAGTCTGCACTGGAAATTGAAATTGACATATCCAAAGGACTTCCTTTTAATTTTGTTTTTTAAATGGCCAATATGCTTTAGTTGAACCATAATTCTAGTAGTCTAGTCTGGTGGTGTTGGAGGGTGGTACATTCTCATTGTAAGATCTGTAAAATCGATTTTGTTAATGTCTTTAAAATGCATAAAAATAGGCTTAACATTTATATGCAAAATATAAAATGTTTTACTTCTCTTCAGATTTAGATGTTTTAGATGTTCTTGCTGCACTTTACAAAATACTCCTTAATGAACAAAACAATATGGAATTGCACACATTGTTTTTCAGTTCATATTTCAACCAGATAAACACTGACCTGACTGCAATTTAGCATTTAGTCAGATTGTGAATGCAGGGTCTCGTATCTACAGTGGATGATGCTGTCTATGAAGCGTTACAGAAAACTAGGATGCAAATAATCTCACTAAATAATGCTATAATATACCGATGTCACACTGAGATAAACTGTGTGTTCCTGCCACATCAGATAGTACCGATACTAATAAACAATGCTGCTGTCTATCCAGCTTTTAAAAAAAAGAAAGCATGAGCATCTACTCATTTGAATTTTTGATCAAATCATTTTCAGCTCTACTTTCTTCAGTCTTAATGGAAAATGCATGGGGCTTTTATTTGGGCCTCCATTATAATTCCATTAGCAATTACCCACTCAGATAGAAGCGAGCTTTCCAGTTCAGTTTTAGTATTAATACAGACTGTTATCAGAACAAAAACCTGGTGCGAGAAGAAGAAAGTCAAATTAACTAATCAAAACAAGGTGCAGTTTGTAGGCCTTCGAGCAAAATATTCAGATTAGGCCAGCTAAATCAAACAATCTACCAAATGTCTGAGCCGGCAAAAAACATAGAAAGCTGTTGAGCAGATAACACAATGTCCAGACATCAGCACCTGCATGCAAATGCTAAACAAATGACATTTCAGCTCCATGAAAGCACACTTTAGTGAAGTCACATAGTCCAGCATGTGCAACAGAGCTGTGTCGTAGTGGTAATAAACAGACTTTGACCGGTGAAGTTCAGCAAAAAAAAAAAAAGAAAAAAAAAAGATAAATCTTTACAACGTCTTTATTTTTACCTGTGTTAAACCATACGATAGCTGAAATCTGGCTTGAATCTGCCAGTCACTTGACAAATGGAGTCTCTTTGTCACATTAATTTTACATAAGAAGGTAATGAATGTTGTAAACGCGTTAAACAGAGAGCAAGCCGAACCTAAACGACAAAGCCCTTTTAACCGGGTATGCTTCATTTCCCCAAAGTCGACATGGTGAATGTTGCTGTGAGATTGGCAGCACAAAAAACAATCTATTATATGACAGCTTTCAAATAACTAGTCAAATCCCAAAGAGTAACCAATTATGGTTTGCTACAAAATGCATCCTTATATCCTGGTATAGATCGGAATTAATAGGCAACGCTTGCAAAAGAGTAAAACTGTATGCATACGCCGCACAGCCCCCATCCCTGGGGAGGCCGGGGCGATTTATCATCATTTGTTAGGGTTGTAACCACTATAACAGGATGTGAGGGAGTTCCTCTGAGGACCTGCAATGTTCCTATACCGATATCAGGACCCACCATTTGAACACGCAAAAAATCAGGGTTGGATTGAGGTATCCGCAACGTATAAACTTCACCAGGCCATCGTGCGATTTATTTTCAGAATACTATCAAACCAATCTGTTGGCTGACCTTGAAATCATTTAAACACCCCACACCGACAGATCTGTCCAAACAGTCTGGTTCCTGGTCTGACTGGTTTTTGGGATAAATCCCTTTAAGTGTTTTTAGTACAGGAAGACGTAGGAAACTTTCTCAAATGAGGACCAACTGCTATGAGAGGCCAGACAACATTCACTCGCACTCACACACAAAAAAAGTGTTTCAATTGCAACCAAAAAGTTTAACAACACTTGATGCCTTGTATTGTCTTCAACAAACATATCTTTTTTAGTTTATTAGCAATTTAGAAAGTAGCCAATGCTCCCAGAAACAAACTAACTGAACTAAAGAATCTAGAATGCTTCATCATCAATAGGCTAATTATTTTTAAATTCTAAATTCAAGAACCTTTTAAGTTCCAAAAACTCCGAATTCATGTATCAGATCAAAATATTAATTCACACTATTAGAAAAATGAATAATTTCAAACTTGTGGTGGTTTTTCCATATAAATTTGTATGATGTGATTAGCTAGGAAATGTATGATTTTTTTGGGAAAAAGCAAGCATGATGTCACTCCTAAACCTAACCATCAGTGGGGCATAAGCAGATTGTATATGAAAAACTTACAAATGAGATCGTATGAAATCAAATTAGCTGAGTTGGAATTTCATCTTGAAGATTTATTGCATCACCAGAATTATATGGTGCTTTCAAATTCATGTATTTGGGTCAATGACAGAATGCTCATCTTTTTTTTTTTTTTTTTGCAAGTCATTCAAAAAAATAAATAAATAAAGAATTAAATAAATAAAAAATACTTTGAAACGCATTCTTTGTTGTACTACAAAAGCGGAAATTCTTATTTTCGTTTTTAATATTCTAGTTTGTTCACCAAATTGAAGTCACCATGTAACCAAATTGTTATGTATCTGGTAACTTTACACCCCCCAAAAAGTGAGGACCCCTTTAGACCCTCAAGGTAATTAAGTCCAGACCTTTTTATGAAAATGTTCTGTTCGGGTGAAATGGACTAACAATTAGGGGAAAAAAGACATTTCTAAACACTTAGCAAATGTTTTAATCCAGTTTTTTTTAACTAGCCAAGAACCAAAATTGTATCATACCTAATTTTATCCTTATCTGTCACTGACCCAAATGTAAAATCGCCTTTCAGGAGTCAAAAAAAAAAAAAAAAAAAAGAAAAGAAAAAAAAAAGTAAACGACTCCTCGATATTTGAAGTTCCCTGTACTCAGAAAGACGCACCTTATGCAAACACCATGTTTTTGATTTGCTAATTTATTCCTGACTCATTCACTGCCTGCGTACTAACTCAAGTTCACACTTAGATATTTAACAGTTGACATTTACCTCATCCGGACTTAAATTAAACGCTTCGGCTATTTTACTGTACAGCTCTTTGACGTTCGTGAAGCCCTCGATCCTCCCCGTGGGACTCCCGTGCGCGAGCTGCGTGTGAAACACGAGTTTCGGTCGGAGGCTTGCAGGTGGAGCAGGGAGTCCGCCGACTCCGCCACCGTTCACCGCCGACTTCCCGACACCTGGGTGCCCGCTCACCTCCTCGTTCTCCACTAAGTTCGAGCTTTCCCTCGACTTATTTTTCTTTTTCCTGAGTCCCAAAGGCATGTTTGCTCCTCCTGTAAATCCGTAGGGGGAACCGGACGGCTAGAGCATTGAAAGACTTAAAACAACCTGTTGAATGGGTCCTTTTAGTTGGGTGCGCTAGATTCCTCTCTTCGAAAGCGATCCAGAGGCTTAAAAATAACAGGTATTAGATCAGAAATAGACTGTACGCGGATCTACTGTAAAGTCTCTCGCCGTTGAGACGCAGACAGACACAATGGACAGCTCTATGGCCGAACGCACGCGCGCTACAGGGCGCAGTGACGTCATCCTGAAACTCATTTACCTGGCTCAGGTGTCAATTAATGATTTTTTTTAAGATAAACATACGCCCAAAAAACAAGATTATTGTGTCATAAATACTTTCCTCTCTAATTTTGAACAGGTTAACATATACGTGCGTGTAGAAACTATAGGCCTATAGCTTATATAACTAATAAATAAATACACATTACGAGTTTAGCCTATTCATACTTTCCTACAATATGCCTACTACAAACAAATTTTTAGGCTTTATTATTGTGACATTCATTCTTAATTATTTAGTAGCTGTTTTCGTTTAGGCCCGAAATTCTGCTTTCATCATTCTAATATGATAAATGATTCTCTGTAGCAAAGGTTGCTGATCTTTTCTTTTCTTTTTTTTTTTTTTTTTTGACCTAACTTCCCTCATTTTTTATTATTATTTTTTTTTTCATGTGGCGTCCTCTGGCGGATGTTTCAATGAATCACGTGTACAGTTGTTGAGTTTCTATACCTCCTACAGTTTTTATTAATCGTATCATAAGGATTTAGTAATAAACTTCCAAACACAAGACACTAGTAGTAAACGGAGTAAAAATGTAAAATAATACTAAGTATGCAAATGCTCTTCAAATTTTCAATGAATAAAACATTGTATAAACCCACAGCACAAGTCACCATTTTTTGGTCTCTGTCAAAGACAGGTACTTTACGTGAGTCTGTTGCTCACATTTACAGGGATCTGACATATTAAACCTGAAAAGGCATTATGTCTAGCTAAATGCAAAGTATCATGAATGAAGGCAAGTATCCATGGCATCATCACGCAATTCACTTCAAGCCATCATTTACTAAAATTATATAGTTTTTTTGCATTTAGACAGAATGAATAAAGATGAATTTTCTACTTGAAAAAAGCAAACAAACACAGCTAATTTAGTCTGTAAAATACTGATGTTGTATAAGGTTCCAATAAAACATTTAAACAATTCAAATGAAGCGTAAAAAAAAAAAAAATAAATAAAACTGTGGGGAAAAAAATAACATCTCAAACAAAAATTGCACTTTAAGCCTGCACTGTCACTGACATACATAGGCATGCAACACACACACAGACACACACATATACATATACAGTATATGTATATGTGTGTGTGTGTGTGTGTGTGTGTGTGTGTGTGTGTGCGTGTGTGTGTGTGTTAGACATATAACATATAACATTTACATAAAAAATAGAAATTGCACATTCTCAAAATTTGATTTGTCATTTTAGTCCACGTATGAGACGAGGGGACTAAATTGTTCATGTAGAAATGTCACTAAAGTCCAAATTCACTTTATGAGACGGGTAAGTGTCTTTTCAGGACATCCTTGGCATTAGATGGCAGACTTTCAGGAAAGTTCACATCAAACTCCACAATGAGGTCCCCTCTTTGCTCTGGATTCTTTGGGAAGGGTAGTCCTTGTCCAGCAATGATCTTCCTCATGCCGGGTTTGATAACATCGGTTATCTTCATATTGCACGTGTTACCGTCGATCGTCGACACGGTGACAGAGCAGCCACACAATGACTGTGTGATCAAAGAAATAAAATACAGTGGTTAGCAGGATGAGAAATATTCTTTAAACTTTAACTTTGTGTGCTATTAGTTTTAAATTTACCCCCAATTAGACTCCAAGTTCAGTTTCTGCCTTAAATTTTAAGTAATCAAATTGGTATATTTTAAGTAAGTTGCTTAGTTAAATCCCGTATTACTTAAAAAATAAAGTTGAACATGGTGACATTATTTTGATGAGACAAGGCAAAGACAATGATACACAAAGGTAGTTTAGTTGTTTAAATTTTAAAAAGTTGCTTTTAACATTTTTAAGTACAATCAACTTGGATGTTTAAGTAATTTCAACTTAAATTACATTAAACTTATTTAAAAAGTGTTAAATCTTGTATAACTTGTAAAAAAGTTCAAAATTGTTTAAGGGTTTGATGACTTACAACAATGCAAAAACATGTTGCCATTACTTATTGATAATATAAATTTTACAGTGTGTGTAACTGCATATAAATAGTTTAATTTTACATTGTGATCCATCTAGAAAAAATAATTGAGTTAGGCAAATATACTCAATATTCATGTCTGGTGCGAGCAGCTGTTTGAAAATAATTGGACCTGCTTAGATATGCTATCATTTAATTATTATTTTCAATATTATGAATACATATTCATCCGATTCACAGTGTACTCTTTACACTTTCTTCTTACATGACCAGGATGAGGACAGGAATCTGAGATGTTACAGTACATGTGTGCACAGCTTTCACATTATTAACCACCATCATTTCCATTCAATATACTGCAGATATTGTGTGCAAAAATGAATCTAACTCTTTCCCTTTCAAGACACACAAAGCCTAAAAGCATATTTTATTGGTTTGACATGTTTGGTACTCTATGTACAGACACCGGACTGTCTATCAATGATTCTGCCATAGAAGTACATCTTGATAGCGGTTAACAGTTTAAGTGGGCGAGCTCTTTTTCTGGCATCTCACAACAGCTGATCGAGCTCATATTCATTCTCGTGTAAACTGCATTATGTAAGAGATGAAATTTCACTCTGAAGAATGTAACGTTTTTAGCTGGGGAAATTTACTAAACAGTGCCTTATAGAAAAACTTGCACAGAATCGAAAGTATAGACTAAAAAAGTAAATTGTAAAAAAAATTATATTGCATTTAACGGACAATATGTGTAGCCCTATTTGTTACTGTAATTATAATACTGTAATATTATTGTAGAAATTAGATAGATAGATAGATAGATAGATAGATAGATAGATAGATAGATAGATAGATAGATAGATAGATAGATAGATAGATAGATAGATAGATGGATGGATGGATGGATGGATGGATGGATGGATGGATGGATGGATGGATGGATGGATGGATGGATGGATGGATAGGATAGGATAGATAGATAGTTGGATGGATGATGCATGGATAGATAGATAGATGGGTAGATGGGTAGATAGGTAGATAGATGGGTAGATAGGTAGAATAGGATAGATAGATAGTTGGATGGATGATGCATAGATAGATAGATGGATGGATGGATGGATGGATTGGATGATGGATGGATAGATAGATAGATAGATAGATAGATAGATAGATAGATAGATAGATAGATAGATAGATAGATAGATAGATAGATAGATAGATAGATAGATAGATAGATAGATAGATAGTTGGATGGATGATGCATGGATAGATAGATAGATAGATGGGTAGATGGGTAGATAGATAGATGGGTAGATAGGTAGGATAGGATAGATAGATAGTTGGATGGATGATGCATAGATAGATAGATGAATGGATAGATAGATAGATAGATAGATAGATAGATAGATAGATAGATAGATAGATAGATAGATAGATAGATGGATAGATGGATAGATGGATGGATAGTTGGATGGATAGTTGGATGGATAGTTGGATGGATTGGATAGATATATAGATGGATGGATGGATGGATGGATGGATGGATGGATGGATGGATCAAATAAATGACCATTGAGCAAATTCATTTGTGGCTCTTCTCACCTGCCGCAAACTGACCCGGACCGGGTACACAATATCAGAGCCCTCTCGTCGAAAGTGGCCGTGGGGCTTGTCTTTAATGACAAACACAATGTCGGCAGGAATCGTGTTTGGCGATTCGTCACCCTCCCGAGGAAACGTGATTTTGGTTCCCTCTTTCCAGCCACGCTTGATCTCAATTGTGAGGATTTTGTCCTCGGCTCTCATGGTCCGACCGTCCGGATTCAAGCGCTTGCGTGAGATTTTCATGCGCTTGGTGCACCCATGAAAGACCTCCTCTAGAGACACCCGGAGCTCGTGGTGGATCGCGGGGTCCTGCTTTCTGCGCGGCGGGCCGCCCTGACCAACGTGCCGTTCGCGCGGAAATCCATTTATGTTAAAACTCGTAAAAGAACCAAAGGGGTCACTCCCGTCCACCTCCATGTCATCGTCATCTCGTCCATTGACTTTCCTGCCAAAAAATATCTCAAAAGGATTGGCTCCTCCGAAAAACGTGGCAAACGTTGCATGAGGATCTCCATGGAAGGTGTAGGTGAAGTTGCCTCCTGGCCCGTCGGACGCTCCACCGCCTCCTTTAAGGCCTAAAAATTGACAAATTTGAGAGAAAACGTGTTATCATGATGGAAGAGTTAGGCCAAAGGAAGCATGGTCTTAGGCTTGCATTACGGTACAACATGGCAAAGGACAGTAGTGTGGACGGGGCCTTAGGCAGCAACTTGATCATGTGCTAATTTGATCTAGTATTTGATGGTTTTAAAAATGTTGTAGATTTCAGTAGCAAACGACAATCACTAAAATTACTGAACATATTTTGAGATTAAGATACTTTCCGTTTGGTTCAAGGTAAATAAAGTAACATGTACGTATTTACGGTAAAAGGTGCCCCTGCTGTCGGGACTAAATGCACATTAATTAGCATGATAATAAAAAGCTACCTGACTTTTTCATTTGTTGACAGGACATGGTTAGATTCAGATGGTAAGGCGTAAAAAAAAAAATTGTTTGTTTCCGGTTTCCGACCGACCCTGTCAATTTATGTGCGACCCAAAATTATTTTATGAGCTTGGGGAAGAAATAATAAAAATTAAATAAATACACAAATAAAAAACTCTGAGGCGAACTATTAATTTACATTTTTGTACAGCTCCGTCTTTTTATAGCACGCGATGTAAGATGCATCTTGTCCTCCAGCAATCTATTAACAAACGAGGCAGATATCGTTCGTCAAACTGAACTATAATACATATTATACAAGTCTTTTTTTGTAATTTAGGATATTTTTATTCATATTCGCACACATACAAATACATGCATTCATAGGCATGCACACACCACATACTAATACCTCCATCCGCCTAGTTTTATTAAAAAATCATCCTATCATGATCCAATCATGATCCCAATCCCATCTTCTGCTGTCTAGCACTTCTTTCGCCATGTATTTGTTCGTTTCTTTCATTATTTTATGCAATCCAAAACACTCTAACCTGCCGCGTTTCGTATCTCCAGAGCCCGTCTAACTTGTCCGCTTTTCCGGGACAAATGGATTTTTGAAGGACAGGTAAAAGAGAATTTTACTCGCCCCAACGGACAAGTAGCCTGATTAGAACATCAATAACAAACAAAAAAATAACTAGGGAATCACTAAACCGAGAGAATGATTCTGATTTTATTACATTTATTGTAAGTTGCGATCGATTGTGGATAATAAATGTAGCAGGCCTACTGTATTACTGATGGTAAGGTTGCGCTGTTGACGCTCGCGCAGAGAAATCTACACACATGAGCGGAGCACACACACACACACACAGTTAACAACATACTCTGCCTATAAAAAATCTAAATGTGGAGTTTTTATATTTTAACATATGTTAAGCACCAAGCAGCCTCAATTATTTTTCATGAATACCATCACGATTGAAAAAGTGACATTGATTTCCTACAACAGTTCAATAAACAGTTAAGATTAAGTCACTTACTGTTTATAAGCAATATTGGGTGTTTTTGTTCCATTTCAGCAGCGAAAATAGTTCCAAAGAAAAGTCACAGCAGAACCACGACGCATCTCACAGGAACTCATCCTGTTTTCATTACTGAATGATTCAGCATTTTGAACGAATCGGTTGAGTCAAGGATTCAATGACCCATTCATAAACATCAACATCCGTCTCATTCTTGAAAGAATCAACCGTTTGAACGAATCGTTTGAATTAATGAATCAATAACTCACTCATTTATACGGCCGCCTGCCGCCACCTATTGGCAGTTTAGTGTTATGTTTATAAGTAGCCTAGCCTAGTATAATTATTTCCAATATTTCTTATTTGCACATTTAAATCAATTTCATAACATTATTTTATGAAATTGTAATTTTTCAGTGTAAATGATTTAATTTCATCAGCCCTACCTAGGGTAACACTAACAGTATGCTTCATCTTTCATTTTAAATTCCTAAATTTGATCAATAAATTCTATTATTTAGAATAATAAGACACTATAGGGCATTTAATAATATTGGTGGAGGGGATGCCCTTAAAGGTGCAGATATTACAATTTGCCTTTTTAAATATCAAAGCTGATTGAACACTGATGACAATATTGCTTCAGAATAAAAAATAATTTAAAAAATCCGGACAAGCAACTTTTTTACTCGGACAAGTGATTGACAGATTTACTTACTTGTCCGGAGGACAAGCATGTGAAAAGGCTTAAGGGGATAGTTCACTTTGAAATTAATTTTTGATATGTTTTAGCTTAACTCAAGGGCATCCAAGATGTAGGTGTCTTTGTTTCCACAGTAGTTTCAATTTTGATATTTTTAGGTTTGACTATCCCTTTAATGTCGAGCCCTGAATAATTTCCTACCCATCCCTTGCTGCCACTGAGAAAAAAAAAAAAAAAAAAAAAAAAAAAAAAATCCCTACCGACCCATGACCTCAACTGACAACCAACCGGAACCAAACTTTTTTTTTTTTTAGGCCTAAATAGTTGGGTGTTCACCTTTTAGATAATCAACATATTTATTATGAATATATTTTAAAATATAATCATATCATACAAAAAACTATAACTTATTGTTACTTACTATATTGTAGACCTATATTAAATTATTATGGGATATCCTTTAATGTTTTCAGAATCTTTTCCTTTTAAAGTAATTTTGTTTCTGTATTTTTTGTACATTTTTAATGGCAATTTATTGAACAAAAATGTATTCATTTATCAAAATACACAGAAAAGAGTACAAACTTAGCTAAAGTGATTGTTTTGAACAAGAATTAACTTAGACATTTTGAAAAACTTTATTTTAAATTAAGTATTTGAAGACCTTGCCAGATAGCACAGGTACCGGTACATCTGTAAGATGTCTGCTAAAGATCTGGAAAACATCTTCAGTGTAAATACATCTAGGTATTTGATGTCCTATTTACATCTGGAAGACGTATTTTTAAGAGTGTTTGCTCATCTGCAAGACGTCGGACGTTTCCTGTCAGATGTCAAATAGACGTTTATAAGATATCAGTTTAACAGGCATTCTAAATCATTACATCTTAGAGACATCTTCTAAACGTCTATTTGACATCTGCAGGAAACGTCCTATAGACGTCTTGCAGATGAGCAAACACTCTTAAAAATACGTCTTATAGATGTAAATAGCACATCAAACAGCCTTCTATATGAAATCTGACAGGAGATGTCTCAGAGATATATTGCTGATGAGGAACACTAAAAAAATACATCCTGCAGATGTAAATGCTGACATCAAATAGACGTCTCTGGGATGTTCGTGTGCTATCAGGATTTTTAAACAAAACAAGCCACTTTTATGATTGATTTACTTTCACACAAAATCTCCCATCACCTGATACCACGTGCGTACATCATGTAGAGTTTATGCTCCTCTGCAATATATATAGGACGTTTCCTGTCAGATGTAAAATAGACGTTTAGGAAATGTCTTTAAGATGTTTTGTTTATGATTTAGAATGTGTATGTTAAACTGATATCTTAAAGACGAATGTTAAAACAGCAGATGCTCTCCTCAGATGAAGTGATCTTGACATCTTGCAGACGGCTATGTGAGCTATCTGGCAACGTATTTCTGCAATCATACGTTACATGTGAAACGCACATTTTAGCACCGTTGTAGCTACGATATACAACCCATTGCGGTGTCTGCCACACTAAATATACGCGTACAGACCACTTAGAATTAGACAACAAACATCTAATTTCGACGTTTACTGTACTACAAAAAAGAGCTTTGTTTTCGACTTAAAATATGTTGGTTGCGCACTGCAAGCACAATAAAACCATCACTACCATGACTCCAAATGGGCAACTTTGTATGATCATACTATATGGATAAATGTCCAGCAATTTATTTTTCATTTCAACATAGCATTGTCTTGTCTATAGCCTACATATTAAAAAGATGAGCAGATGGATTAAGCATTCGTGGTCAGATAATGTTCACGGCTAACACGGGTGTGTTTCAGAGATGGAAGAAGCCTACCTTCTTCTCCGTACTGGTCGTATATTTCCCGTTTCTTTGGATCACTGAGAACTTCATATGCCTCCGCTACCTCCTTGAATTTCTCCTCCGCATTGGCCGCCTTGTTTTTGTCAGGATGCCATTTCAGCGCCTGTTTTCTGTACGCTTTTTTGATGTCGTCGTCTGATGCTCCTTTCGCGATTCCCAATATTTTATAGAAATCTTTGCCCATTTTCTCCTATGCAGAGCGGGTTGGCACGGGCTGCCCGAGGAGTCAGTCAGAGTCAGTCCACTGAAAAAGAAGACCGTGAATAAGCACCGTCGTGGCTGTCAAACCCTGCCTCTTTAAACCGTGACACAGATGATCAGTTGATCCTGTTGTGTCTGTTTGGAGGCGGTTACTCAGCACTAAAGATCTTGTGTTATTTTAGCCTCTTTAAATAGCCACTGCTCCCTCCCCTGTACCAGTGCAGTTCTGGAATCAGAGGGCGCTTCTAGAACGTGTGAGCTGAAGCACGTCATTTCCCATTTTCAGATAAATCCATTTTCAGATCTAAAATCCTCTCGAACCAGACACGCATTCAACGATGTAAACTAGCCTAGCCATTGTCTCTGAGAATCTATCTATCTATCTATCTATCTATCTATCTATCTATCTATCTATCTATCTATCTATCTATCTATCTATCTATCTATCTATCTATCTATCTATCTATCTATCTATCTATCTATCTATCTATCTATCCACACATTCATCCATCCATTAAAAAATAGATGTACCCGCTAAACCAGGGGTGCCCAAACTTTTTCCTACGAAGGGCCAAAAAATCAAACTTGATTGTGGGCCGTGGGCCAAAAGTAAATTTTGCATCATAAATCAAACGGTATTACATTAAAGTTGCTATGGGTTTATTTATTTTATAATATTTAAAATAAATAAAAAACAACTTCAATCTGATTAACTAATGCAGTTTTATTTGTAAAGTTTTGCATTTTAAAGAAATCCCCTCTCCCCGGACGGTATGGCGGGCCAAATCAAAGGATACCACGGGCCAACTTTGGCCCGCGGGCCCTAGTTTGGGCATCTCTGCGCTAAACTATTTATCATTGCTTTGTTACAAAATGCATTCAGTGATGACATCTTTCATTTTACATGAATTCTTTTCGCACAGACACAAACATCACCAAAACTCTAGACAGGTCGATTTGCATGGCATAGGCCTACATACTTTTTTCAAAACGGTTTACAGTAACTTGAGTTTTACTGTAAAACCTAGAACAACACAGAAATGTGCTACATTTCTAGGCTACTAGATTGACCTATTCTAAATCTAAAAAATCTAATAAATATTTAAATGTATCTCATTTTCAACAAGTTACTTTTTCTTTATTTCTTTACTTCTTTATTTCCTTTCTCTTTCTCTTCTTTCTCTCGCCTTTCTTTTTTTGTATTACAGCTTTGAATATTGCTATGTGTGTGTATATATTTATACTGTATTATATGTATAAGGAGCATTGATCTACTGTACATATTAGGAAACTTATAATAGAGATACACACTCAACACAATTGTACACACTTCACATAATTACATGTACATATACTTTCTGTTTTTATGTATTTTTGATGGTATCATCTATCTATGTTTTGTTCAATGTTCTGCTTAAAAAAAATAGATTTTGTTAGCAGATGTTAGTCTTTGAGTTTCACCATCCAAGGGGAAACTCAGGAGCAATTTTGTACTGTAATGGACTTTGTAACAGTGAATATGCTCCTGTTTTTAGCTGGTTGATTTAGTGACAAAGTGTGTTTGTTTGTTGACAACTATAACATACTTATAATTTATTATAATTCATTCAACTTTACCAATTAGGTTGCTCTTCAAGGTTTGCACCCAACAAACATACTTTGGTACTCATAAAACAAAAACCATAACAACAGTCAGCATACAGTTTTCTTTAGTAAAATGTATTTGCAAAACAAGAATGTTATGTTTACATTAAAAATATTAACCAATTTTTCCCATTTTGAATGGATGGTAATGAAATCGAAAGACTATCTGCATAAGAGTTCATATACATCTAATTACTTTTCAGTTTTAGATTCAGAATATATTTAAATCTGGCATTACTGTGTATATTATGTTTTAACTTATAAGTTTAAAAGTTTTGAAAAGTGTAAGTAAACGTGAACATTTTCATGTAGGTTATGAGTTTTGGTGGTTTGTGTCTGAGTGAGAAATGAATTGATAAATTTGAAAGATGTCGTCATTGAATGCATTGTTCTTCAATTATTATTGGCTCCGCATTCAGCAGTTGTAAACAATCTGTCTTTTAGATTATGGGAGACTTTTATGATAATACTGCAGCTAACAAAGTTATTATTTTAACGCCTGTAAGTGAAAGCTCTTATAGCGCAAAGCACATCAGAAGCTATAAGCACAGTCGATGCAGGCTATTACACGTCATTTTCTGAAAATAGATGGAAAATCTGACATTAAAAGACAGCGCTCTAAGTATAGTAGTGGCAGCCTGCCATCAAAAGATCCTATTTCGTCTTTATACCAACCTGTCCCCTTCACCCAGACTGATTTTGCATGTTTGAAGTAGCCCTATCTTTGAAAAAATATTAGATAAGGAGTCTGAATACACTGTAAAATATGATCAGGCCACGGGTTTGCTTTTAGAAATGACCATGTTTGGTCTTTGAACAATATTGCCAATCCACATAGCCTAGTTTTTTAGATTTGCGGACACACTAAAAGTGGTACTTGAGGCCCACTCAGTGAAACCATTCACTCATAATTTTTAAAACGATTTTAAACTTTTTTTTGCTAAATGCTTAACGCAGTTCTCTACATTAGATCAGAAAATAACAGCTCTTGTTTTTCATTTAGAAAACTTAAATGCCACAATCATTTCCCATTCCTCCACCCAACAATCATGTGTGAAAAAGGCTATAAATTGATCACTTATAGAAATTGAACCTCAATGTTTTCAGAAAGATTTTTTTTATGCTCTTCATTTTTGTTTAGTGTAAAATTTGATCACTTAGAAATCAAAACTCAATGTTTTGAGGGGAAAAAAGCACCCTTCCATTTCAGTTTATTTGTAAATGCACAAGTCAAATAGGCCTTATACAGATTGTTTCAAAGTAGCTTCAGTAACACATTCAAATTCTACTATAAAACAGCCCTAATACTGTCAGCCAAAAGTCTCATTATTCCGTTCAAGTCACTTCATTAGGCTATATTTATTCAGTTCAATTCAATAAATATAAAAATTATCAATTGTGTGTATTTGTGCACATAGGCCTACATGTAGCCTTAGCCTATGTGTAACACACTCCCATGCTCTCCACTGCACACTGAACAAGCAATGACACAAGATAGTAGTGTTTTACATTGTTTCACATCTGTGTGTAGCCTACAGTAGTTTGGCGTCTGTGTGGCCAATCATTTGATGCTTTGTGTGCAGTTACTGCAAAAACACAATTTTTAAGAGAGTTAAAATAGTTTTGAAAGACGTGTTTGCTTTTACAACAGATGTGTGACGTTTTACATCATGTGTGCGTAATGTGTAGAGTTTTGAGAAATTAAGCCATGGTTTTAGAAAAGTGTGTGTAAGCAATAAAACACTGTAACACACACCATCGCAGTTCCATCTGCTGGTTAGCCTCGGTACTGCACGACATTTCCCGCTGAGAGGAGGACAAACCACCCCACTGAACTCCATCCTCTGGCAAGAGATATGACTCAGCGTTAATGAGCTCAAAATATAACAACAGACCACAAATTAAGTAGTGAGTTTACTTAATTCTATTTCTCGCATGAATCGTTCTACTTAAATAGCTTTTTGTCTTTTACATCATGGATAGTTTCCGCGGTTTGTTTGATAAACTCGACAGGGATAATGACGGTTTTATATCTCGTGAGGAGCTGCTGAGTGAAATGCGAAGGATAGGTGTGGAACCAGTGTGTGAAAAGGTTCAAGTAAGATTTTCTACTTATATCAATTGCAGAGACCATGTTAAGGAATCATTCTTTTATGTTGCCTATCTGGAGATCTTATTTTCTGTGTGAACAAATTAACAGCCACAATTCTGTCGTTCAGGAAATCTTGTCAAATTATGACCAAAACGAGGATGGACGTCTTAGCTATCAGGAATTTCTTATTTATATAATGGACAGAGAGAAGAAATGGAAAATAGATTTCCATGCCCTTGACAGAAATAAATGTGGTAAGTTGTCTGTGACAATAGCCCATTATTCTTATATTTTTACCGAAACAGCTTATAGTAGGCCTACTGTTATGTTCTCTCAACTACTGTATACAAAACAAAGTACCAAAAACAGTGCAAAAATATATATTTTAAACAATTAATATACTGTATTAATCGTATTATTTTATATAGCCTATCACAATATATAGCCTACATTTAAATGGTATTCCATTTTTGTATTTTGTACATGATGTAACATGAACTGTATTGTCTTAGAACTGCACATTTCAATTTGGATATTACTTTGATAGTCACCTCTGGTAACATCAATCTTACAGTTATTTTTGGAGCCTACAATCACTATAGGGCACATTTCTCAATACTTAGGTCACTTTTTCAAATCTTTTCACACAGTTCTCCTGAACGTCACATTCAAAATGTACTACTGTAAATCTATAAGAACACTTCAAATGCCATTCTTCCATAACGCTCGCAAAGGTTTTCCCCCAACAAACACTGTTACTCATAAAACAATCCGAAAAACGCACACACTCAACAGGAGCATTAAACTGGAGTTTTCTTTTGTAAAGGATTAAACTTGGCCAAACAGTTAATCTAAACAGTAAACCAACAAAACACTTCATGTAGCCTGTCTCATAAGCTCGTTCCACCATAACACTGGCAAAAAAAAAAAAAAAAGCATTTTACTGCTTGTTTAAATTGCTTACTGTAATACGATGGGCTAAAGCAACACAATTGCTGTACATTCTGTCATAACATTCTGTGTTCAATCCCAACCTGATCTCACGGCAATTCGGACGAATTTTACGAGGTGGCTAATTCATACAAATTCATACAACTTCAACAAATTCGTATGATTTTTGCTAATTCGTACATATTTTACGAGTTACCAAATTCGTTTAAATTCTTACGAATGACCTACTCCTGACCCCGCCCCTAAACCTACCTGTCACGTGGGTTTAGACGAATCGCACGAATTCGTTCGAGTGAGGTCATTCTAATTCGTACGAATTAGCCACCTTTTAATTGCTCGTACGAATTTGTACGAATTGGTCGTGAGATAGCGTTGAAAATAAGCTTGTTCCACCATAACACTGGCAAAAAATAATAATAATTTGCTGCTTGTTTAAAGTCCCCGTGAAATCAAAATTGAACCTATTTACTTTGTTAGCGCATATTACTAGTCTTGTGGTGAACAATTAATCCGTGCAAGTAAAAATATATTTAAAAAATGTTTTACCTTGGTAATCTTTAATCAAAATCTGAAAAGTTACTTCCGGTCTGGAACAGTTTCTTTTTCTGATGACGTAGGTTTCACAACTTGGGTGGGGAAACGCTTAACCACTCCCCTCAAACCGTTAGTTTGCTATGAGCGAGAGATGGAGAGGAGGAGCGCTAGAGTAAAACCCTGCCCTCTGTTCAATATTCCGTTTCACTTGGAAATACGTCACAGCACTGGAGAAAAATCGTTTGCAACTTCCGGTTCACAGGGACTTTAAATTGCTTAATAAAAATGGGCTAAAGCAACACAATTGCTGTACATTCTGTCATAACTTAATTTGACTGTGTTCAATCCACTTAAATACATGTCAAATTTAAGTTTACTTAATCCGTTTGTTTTGGGGTTACATGATTGATTTGTGTTGCATTACTATAAGTTTAACAGTATTGAAAAGAGTCAAAATTTTGGTGGTATTTGTGATTGATAATTGAATTTATATTTATTTGAGAAAATAATTCATATAAATTGAAATGTTTGAATGAATGAATGCATTTTGTGCCAAAGCAATGATAAATGATCCACAGTTTATCTCACATAACTGTGTAAAGAGTTTTGAAAAGTGACCCAAGGCTATTGAGAAATGTGTCCTAGCGATTGTAAAAAAAAAAAAAAAAAAAAAAAAAACTGTAATTAAAAACATGCTTTTTCTGTGAAGCTGCTTTGAAAAAGATATGTATTGTGAAAAGCGATATAGAAATAAATATGAATTGAATTGAAAATTCTTTCCTCTGATTAGGGGCAATTGACCTGGAGGATATCATGACTCTGTTTAAGGAATTAGGTTTGGTCATATCAAAACCCAATGCAAAAAGAATCATTCAAATGTAAGAGACCTGATGCTGCTGCCTTCACACTTGCAATATTTTATAATGATATTTGATATTAATTTCTATGCCATTGGTAACAATGCCATAGAAAATAAATGTCACTTCAAGATCACTCAATGGTTTTGTATTATGGGGTCAGATACCTTGACATTACAGATTTATGTAAATCTTACAGTAAATAGACCTTGTGTTCTGATACAGTTTATCTTAAATGCATGAAATGCTTAGGAATTTGTAGTGATTGGATTATTAACATTGAACTCTTATTGTCATTAGGATGGATGAAGACAACTCTATGACAGTAGACTGGGACGAATTCCTCCAGCACGTTATAATCAACCCAGCAGAAAACATTGGAGAGTTAGTATCTTCCTGGAAACATAACCTGGTAAAAAAAAAAGAAATCAGCTATTTCAAAAATGCCTTTCTTTAAAATAATAATTGACCCAAAAGGGAAATTATCTCATCATTTACTCACCCCAGTGCTATATCAGATGTGTCTGACTTTCTTTCTTCTGCAGAACACTTCCATTTCAGCTGGGTAGATCAATCCAGGAATTACATTTTTTTTCTAAAAAAAAAAAAAAAAAAATCTATATATGAGACATTGATTATGCCATTGGAGCCATATTAATTACTTTTATACTTTTACACATATACTATGTGATTTTTGGAGAATCAAACTTTTGGTCACCAATCATTTGCATTGTATGGACCTAAGATAGCCAAGATATTATTCTAAAAATATTTGTGTTCCACAGAAAAAGTCATACTTTACATAAAGACATGAGTAAATGAGGGGAAAATGTAAATTCTGTTATGGTATGGATGGCGGATGAACCCAGAAGCAGACGGTGTGCAATCACAGATAGTTTATTGTAGACAAATAGGGGAAAACAAAGCCCACGAGGGGGCAAAACAAGACTGACAAGGACTAAGGAGACTGACTAGACACTGACAAAATACTACTAGGTAAACGACTGACACGAGCAATAGAAAACCAGGACAAATACTCTTCACAGGTAATTACAAACTTGGCACGGACAACATCTGGCAACATATGGCAATGAACCGACACAGGACAGCAAACACAAGGGGATTAAATAGGAAACACTAATGACGAGGACAGGTGAAACTGACTAGACAATAATCACAAGACAAGGATAACAAGGGGGCGGGGTAACGAGACAACACAAGCACATGGCCCAAACAACAGACCATGCGCTTGTACACAAAACATGATTCTGTCATGATCCTGCCTCATGACCAGAGAAAAATTAACCACAAGAGGGCAGAATCATGACAGAACACCCACCTTAAGGAGCGGCTACCAGACACTCCTCAAGGGGACATTAAACACGGGACATGACAGACTGTGACAAAGACCAAAACCAACAGTACATAGCAAAAACTAACAAAGGCAAACAAGAATACACAACAACAGGGTTGGGGTGGAACATCAAAAATAATAAACAAGGAAGGGGAGGCAGAGGGACAACAAAGTCCTTGAGCGAGGGTCCAGGGTGCACAGACAGGACGGTGATCTTGGGACCACGGGGTATGGGCTTGGGACGGGGGGTCCGAACGGACTTGGGTGGAGTGGTGTGGGTAGAGGGAGAAACAGTCCGGGGTTGAGACATGGCAGGGGAGACAGGGGAAACAAGCGGAAGTCCAGGGGCAGTGGAGACAGGGACAAATGGGGAAACAGTCCGGGAATTAGTGGAGACAGGGGCGACCGGGAAAACAGACTGGGGTACTGCATTAGTGGCAGCAGCAACAAACTCAGAGGACTCAGAGGATGGGGAAACAGGACTCCTGACGGGGGACATGGCAGGTGAAAGGACAGGACTGGGTGCAGCGCTCTCTGTGGCGGGCGCTGGTGCTGCGCTCTCGGCGGCTGGCGCGGGTTCGGCGCTCTCGGCGGCTGGCGCGGGTTCGGCGCTCTCGGCGGCTGTGGACACGGGACAAGACAACATGCCAGATCTGGCTGGAACTTCCAGAATCTTGGCTAGACTCGACAGGTACTTGGACAAAGTTCTTGCCGCAACGGCAATAGGCAACTCCTGATCTGCTGACACTGACCGCAAAACAGCCTCAGCAGCCGAATCAGCTGCAGCCCTCTCAGCGGCGCTCACGACAGCAGGCTCAGGAACGGTGTCCTCAGCAGCGGGTTCAGGGACAGCGCTTACAGCAGCGGGCTCTGGGACAGCGCTTACAGCAGCGGGCTCTGGGACAGCGCTTACAGCAGCGGGCTCTGGGACAGGTGGAGATGAAGGACGAGAGGCTCCCCTCCTCCTCCTCTTCTTCCTAGGCCGTGGCACGGACGTAGTAGACGGACCCTTGACCGGTTGGAGAAGCTCAATGGGGGCTGTAACTGGTGCAGGAAGGGCAGTCTCAGACAGCGTTGACTCTGTCGAGGATGATTCAGAAGGAGAATCCCATGAACTCCGTCTCGCTCACTTGCCACGGAGATGAGGTGGTGTGGACGAAACCTCAGGAGAAGATACGGAGGAAACCAGATCCCCTTGAGTGACCACAGCTAGAACACGACCCTCCGGGATCACGGGCAGCTTGGCGGATGATGAGCTTGTGGGTGTCTGTGACTCTCTCCGAGACAAGCAATCCACCAAATCAGTGAACGGATAAGTCACCAGCTCCTCCCGTTCAACCAGGGGTGGAAGAGAGTTGAGACCAGCGACGAGGTAGCAGTTTAGGAGGAACTCCGGAATGAAAAACCTCCTCTCGTTCACAACCCGGGCATACTCCCTTATCGATAGCCGTCCCTGTGAGCGGGAATCGGGAGCTTGCCTCTCCTCGAGTCAGCGATGGTCTTGGACCACCACTCCTTCAGTTCCTCAGAGTCATGCTTGACACTGGAGGACATACCATCTGCTGGGTTCGATTTTGGTCGGTTCATTCTGTTATGGTATGGATGGCGGATGAACCCAGAAGCAGACGGTGTGCAATCACAGATAGTTTATTGTAGACAAATAGGGGAAAACAAAGCCCACGAGGGGGCAAAACAAGACTGACAAGGACTAAGGAGACTGACTAGACACTGACAAAATACTACTAGGTAAACGACTGACACGAGCAATAGAAAACCAGGACAAATACTCTTCACAGGTAATTACAAACCTGGCACGGATACCATCTGGCAACATATGGCAATGAACCGACACAGGACAGCAAACACAAGGGGATTAAATAGGAAACACTAATGACGAGGACAGGTGAAACTGACTAGACAATAATCACAAGACAAGGATAACAAGGGGGCGGAGTAAAGAAACGAGACAACACAAGCACATGGCCCAAACAACAGACCATGCGCTTGTACACAAAACATGATTCTGTCATGATCCTGCCTCATGACCAGAGAAAAATTAACCACAAGAGGGCAGAATCATGACAAATTCTTTCAAGATTTTGCACATCTTGTGAACTGTTCATCATCAGGTTTAAAAAATGATGTTGACTTTGTAGGTGTTTGATGTAGGAGAGAGTCGCTCTTTGTCTATTGAGTTAACCCAGGACGGGACTGACCTGTCGATCTGGGGGAACTTTATACTGGCCGCAGGCCTGGCAGATGCAGTGTCCAGAACTGTGACAGCACCAATCGACCTGTTAAAGACACGACTTCAGGTATATTTTTTTGTCAGTCAAAAAATTTAAAAATGTTTCCACCTTTGCTGTTAAATTCACTTAAATGTCTTTGATTTTAAATCCAAAGACATTAAAGGATGAGCGTTGTTGTTGTTGTATACAACTCAAGACCCACCTTAGAGAAATGATTGCTCAAAATGACTCATATAATTGGTTTATTTTTCCTGTAAAGAAAGATCATTTACATATTCAATAAAAAAAACAAATAATAAATATTAACATACTTCCCCAATTGATTGATTAAATTACAGTAAGAAATTGAATTACAAACATTAAACGTTTTTTGAAATGTTGTTTAATTATGCAAATGAGGCATTATCTAATTAAATATTCCCTTCATTGCGTACATTTCCACAACCGCAATTTAAACATTGGAATAAAAAAACAGGTTTAAAATTTATGTTTCATTTTGTTGCTTTCATATTAGAGTTAATGGTTTTTACAGCAGGGATTTTGGATTTCTCTTTTAAATATTGCATAAATAAGAAAATACTCTCAACTGCCAGAAAAAAATACAACTTTGGCCAGTCAATCTTTTTATTCTATATAAGAAACCTATATATTTTGAGCTGGCTTAAAGGGATAGTTCACTTTGAAATTAATTTTTGATATGTTCTAGGGCATCCAAGATGTAGGTGTCTTTGTTTCCACAGTATTTTCAGTTTTGATATTTGTAGGTCAAACCGTTCTTGTCTGTCAGTCATACAATGGAGGTCTATGGTCACCACCTCAAAGAGCATGCACAAGTCCAAATTAAACATGATTTAATGTAAATGTAAGTACACACTGATGGCCTAAGACACGAAACGTGCGGTTTGTGTGAGAAAACAAACAGTTTTTATATAGTTTTTACCTTGTTTATTTACCAATTTAGACCTCCATTATATGACTGACAGACAAGAACGATTTGACCTAAAAATATCAAAATTGTGGAAACAAAGACACCTACATCTTGCTAAGCTACATCTAAGCTAAAACATCTAAGTGAACTATCCCTTTAACTCAAATTCACACGGATCTGACTAAGAAATGGCTAAAAACGCTATATTCTGCTGCCAGGCCAGTAGGTGGCGATGTCAATTTGTTATTCACCTATAGACTGAACACACTTGCACAGGACGTCATAGTTTTCACAAATTCACGGTTTTGTTGTTTACACAGAGACAGTAATGGTATCGTTCTAAAAAATGTGCAATTTGAAGGCCGTTTTCACCAAAACTGAACTTTACACAATTGTTGCAAAACTGGCCACAAGCCATTAAGCAGCTCTAATGAAGACAGTCGTGTCGTCATTAAGCTCAATTTAGTTCAAAAGTTGGTTCTCATCCAAAGGTGTCAGTGCAGTGAAATCGATATGCAGTATATGATACTGGATATTACTATTTCAGTTAAATTGGGAGTATATGTGTTATGCATTTGTAATACAATTTGTTGAGTGTGTGATCTAACAATACAGTAGTAGCCTAACACACTGCAATATACTGGATAGGTTTTTGGATCCAAAGCTGTGTCTCTGGGACTCCGAGAGCTGAAGACTGGAGGTTTTAGATCCTTGTGGCAAGGAAATGCTGTGAATGTTCTTAAAGGAACACCTCAATCAACGCTTCAGTGCTTCATCTATGCCCAGGTGAGCACTCAAACATGCACAAGCATTCACTCACATGTGCACAGATGCTCAAACATTCTTGATGTCACCCTCCCAACAGATGAGGATGAGCACTCTGGGCGAGAGGGACAGTCTGTCGGTCCATCAGAGGTTTGGACTGGGCTGTGTGTCAGGGGCGGTGGCACACGCTGTGTTCTACCCCTTAGAGGTATCACAGTGACACAACAGGTTGGAGCTCCTTACTGTTAGGTGTTGTCTGTCAAATATGTCGTTTTTCAGAGTACAATAGACCTTGCGTAATTGGATTTTTCTTTCTCCCTTCTTTACTTTCCGACAAAGACAGGCAAAGGTTTTTTTAGTGATAATACATTTTTTTTAATCTTTGTATTGGATGATTTTTATGCTCCCAAAAAGAATGATGGCAAATGTAATTTTGTCACACAAACTTGTTGCATTATATAATGGATAAATGCATAAATAAATGGCTAGATTTCTGCCTCAGATTAAAGAAATTGAAATTATAATTATTGTCTGTAATTGTGGCAAACGACACAAGGTTATTATAGTTAACTAAAACCATTAAAAAATTCTACTTGAAATAAAATTAAATACAATAAAATCATATAGAAATGTAATTTTATTTCAGCTAGTTTCTCACTTTCATTTAGTTTAACTTGATGTATTAAAGCAACTAAAACCAAAGCTAATATAAAAAATTAATAAAAACTACATGGAAATATTAAATAATAAAAATGACAAAAAGAAAACATTATTTAACCAGCAACATTATTTAAGACTTAAGACATAATACTTTATTAGCTAAATTTAAAATTCAATTTAATTCAAAATAAATAAAGCTCAGTGATACTAAAATAACACTGATTGTGACATAAAGATTAAAATGTAATTCGAGGTATAAACTAATAACTGTAACACTTTACAATAAAGTTTAATTTGTTAACATTAATTAACGTATTAAAGGGTTATTTCACCCAAAAATTAAAATTCTGTCAGTATTTACGCACCCTCATGTTGTTCCAACCCCGTAAGACCATTGTTCATCTTCGGAACACAAATTAAGATATTTTTTAAACTTGCCGGCCTCGAAAAGTTATTAAAGACATCATTAAAATAGTTCAAGTGACTCCAGTTGCTCAATCTTAAGTTTATCAAGCGATGAGAACACTTTTTGTGCGCAAAAACAAACAAAAATAACTAATTTATTTCAACTATTCACTTCCTTCTCTATTGCCTCTAGTCAGTTAACGTAGTGTGATAGCGTAGAGCTACGTCACACGTAGGCTCACTAGTGGCCGACGCTGGTCATGTGTGTGATGCGTGTGACGTACAATAACAGAAGATTACGTTATTAAACTAGTAACCTGACTCGAGGCAGAAAGAGAAGTAAATGAATAGTTGAAATAGTTTTCTCGTCATTGATAAACTTAAGATTGAGCCACTGTAGTCACTTGGACTATTTTAACGATGTCTTTAATAACTTTTCGAGGCCAGCAAGTTTCAGTTCCTCAAGAAGCCTATGGACTAGTATGGAGGAGTGATCCAGCTCTCAGATTTAATCAAAAATATCTTAATTTGTGTTCCGAAGATGAACGAAGGTCTTACGGGGTTGGAACAACATGAGGGTGAGTAAATACTGACAGAATTTTCATTTTTGGGTGAACTAACCCTTTAACTAACACGAACTAAACAAGTTTATAAAACACATCTGTTTATTGTGTTCATCACTTCACGGTCCATTAACCAATGAAAAATGCAACTTTTAAATTGGATAATGTATTAGTAAATGTTGAAATCAACATTAACTAAGATTAATAAATGCTGTAAAACTATTGTTCATTAATTCATGTTAACTAATGTAGTTAATAATGAAACCTTATTGTAAACTGTTATAATTACAAGCAATACAGTTGCTGTTGCAAGAAATAAAGCCACAATTTTAAAATATTAAGTTACAAAATGCCATTTCAACTCACAATTATTAGAAATGTGAGGTAAAGTGACATTGTGAGATATATTTACACAATTATGAAAAACGTGTAACTGAGAAATAGTCACAATAGTAAGTCGCACAGTACAAGTACTTTCCATATTAGTCATTTTTCATCAACAATCCAAAGTGTTTAATTAACATTCAGAACCTATTAGAGTAACCCCGGTTATCTTCTTTGACTTACAGTACATATACTGTAAGTTGATTGACGTTGTCTTTCTTTTTTCCAACGGCAGGTGCTGAAAGTGAGACTCAATCTCCAGCCGGCCGGCACCTACAATGGAGTACTGGGATGTGCCAAGCTGATTTACCAGAACGAGTCCGTGGCAGCTTTCTACCGAGGGTTCAAGCCCAGCATTCTCTGCATGATACCTTATGCTGGAGTGGAATGTGCAGTGCATCAGGTATTCCAGATGAGAGGAGGTATCTGAGTATTCATTTAAGAAGAAACTACAAAACTGCTTTTACTTTCAGGCAGAGTGGCTTTATTTTCTTCTCACAAATTTATCAGTCATTAACATGAAACCTTTCTCCTCTTGCAGTCAATCATGAGCTGGGCAAGACAGGATCAAGAGCAAGTCAGTGACTCCAAGCTGTTCCTCTTCAGTTTTGCTGCGTTTGCATCGGGACAGGCCACCAGTTACCCACTTGCTGTCATTAGGACACAACAGCAAGCTCAAGGTGAACGTTAAACCCGAACTGAGAATATTTACTTTCATCAACGTTTTCCTCAAAACAAAAATGTCTTCCAAGGCTTTTAATAATTAATATCTGTGCTGTACAATCTGGCAAATTTTTACTGTCTGCATTCACGCAGCATCAGAAATGAGAATCCTAACAGGGAATGTTCTCAGGACTTTGACTAACGCTCTGCAAAGGTCTCTTTCAAAGTTATGAAGAAATGTTTTACTATGTTCTATTGTTCTCAAAACATTAATACAAAAAGACGCTATTTATATCTTTCTAATGAAACTTTTTTCTGAAATTAAGTTGGATGTTGAAGAAGAATGATAAAAAGGAATGCTCAATTAAAGGTGCACTGAAGTGTCATGAAACACACTGAATTATTCAATGTGTTGATGTCATTTCCACTGAAACAGGAAGACAGGGTGCCAATAGCGTTCATGCACCCCAGTGTAAAGCGTATTTACACTGTCTGGATCGTTCCCTATCCCCTCGATTTTAGCGGCGGCTTCATTTTATAGTGTAAGGGGCGGGACACTTTTTTTAGATTCTAGAGAGCATTTGACTGGACAGAAAATCTGATGAGAAGCTGAGTGATGTCATCAAAATCATTGATCCATATTGACGGACTGTTTTTTTTTTAAAGCTTATATGTTCATCATTGTATTGGAGCACACTAGCAAAACCGGCTTATGGCTTCTATATTCATACTGAAAAACCAAAAAAAAACTTAAATTTTGATTTCATGGGAACTTTAACGTTCATAACTATGAGAAAAAAAGCATTTTTTAAAGCATTTAAACAAACTGACATTTAGAAATAACGTTTTCATAACTTGTGTTATGTTGTGTTAATATGTTCTCTGAACATCTAAAGGATGTTCATCTCGGACTGTTGAACGAATCAGTATTTGTCTTGTGAATTTCTTTAGCATTTACTAAATATATATCTGTAATTTGATCAGTGTGCTGTTGTCTTTTCTCTCGCAACCTCAGCTTTCTGTTCGACCTCTGGGAAGACTGCGGATGCTCTTCAAGGACTCGTCGGCATCTATGAGAAAAATGGAGTCCGAGGTTTTTATAACGGAATGGGTGCTAGCTTTGTGAGAGCTGTTCCCTGTGCTTTGCTGAATTACACCCTGACCTCAAAATTTGAGACATTGCTTTCTTCATTGTCCTAATGTAGAATAGTGGTTTTGAGTTTTTATTGTTATTTTTTATTTATTTGAATTATGTCAGATCACGTGCATTCCTGTGTTACCTAATGTTATGGTGATGACATGTGACTATGGTATGAGTATGTGGTATCAGTTTTTGATATCTGAGCCTTTTAACAAGTACACAAGCACCATATCAGTATTTTGTTCATCTTTGTTGTCATTTGAGTCTGCAACCATATCATGAAATTTGAATCATGTTACCAACCTTCCTGACATCAAAGATCATTATTTGCTTGGTACTATGATGTACTTAATCATTATGACACAAGTGGTAAAGTGAAAAAGTGTTTTTTTCCTCCATAATTGTCTGTTATTTTTGCTTGTGGTCTATTCCCTGGACGTCACTAAAGTATTGAGACACCTCTGCAGAATATGTGTAAATATTAATTTTGCTGTGAGTAAGTTTAACTTGTTGCAGTTAGGCTACTGAGCATACAATTCAATTGTTGCTTTTCCTCTTTATCTAATTATGTATATGTATAATTATGTAGCCTAATTCACAGTGTTAAAACTGTAATAAAATCTACAATTGGCAGTATTTAAACATACTAAAAAAAGTCAATTTTTCTTTTTTTTTTTTTCTTCACAAAGAACCAAACTATATTAATTAACTGAAACGAAAGAGCGATGCTTGATTATGGTAGATGGAGTAAGTCTCAATGAGTTTCAATGAGCAAAAAAATAAATAAAATAAAAACGGAATAATAGCTGTTCGCCTATTCCTTACGACGCCACAAGAGGACACCATACACATTCATCAGCGAAACGAAGCAAACTGTTCTGGTTACGTGGCCATAGTGACGTCGTCGACAGAGTTGACGTTTCACAAACATGGCGTCGCAGCAGAATGAAGTTGATGAGCTGTTCGATGTAAAAAATGCCTTTTACATCGGCAGTTATCAACACTGCATTAACGAAGCCCAAAAAGTAAAGGTGAGTGTCCTGAAAATATTCTTAATGGGACGAAAGCATTTCTTACTGAAACGCTTAACGTTATAGATTCCACTTGTGTCTGTTAGCATTCGGCTAACGTTAATGCATTAACTGTTATAGTCTATATTTTAACAAGACTGTCATTGATAAATGACAACCAACCACGTGTAACTTGTTTTATGTTTTATATTTCTTTTAGACACCAGGGCCAGAAAAGGAAGCAGAGAAGAACATTTTCCTGTACAGAGCATATATTGCTCAGGTAAGTTCTTTAGCATCAGTCTGTTGTGGTGGTATGTTGGTTTGATGTTAATGAGAAAAAAAAAACTAAGTTAATCGAAGTCGAACACCAACCCATGTATGTGTATGTATGTATGTATGTATGTATGTGTATGATGTGTGTGTGTGTATTCACATATACTTATGTTTTTGATTTAGTGCAATTAATTTTGAGTTCTAAGTGAATGATGATTTCTGTTGTCTTGTCAGAGGAAGTATGCTGTGGTTCTGGATGAAATAAAGCCCAGCGCCTCTGAGGAGATGCAGGCCGTTAGGATGTTTGCCGAGTACCTGTCCGATGTAGGCAAGAGGTATGTGCAGTAAAACTGTCACATTTTTATGAATTGTTTCAAGCTATAAACTAAAACCCTAGATACATACAGGTTAGCCATTTGGTCTATCAATCAAAGGTATAGCCTAGTTCACCCAAAAATGAAAATTTTTGTCTGTCAATAATTTAGTCACCCTAATGTTGGTCCAAACCCTTAAGCCATTCGTTCATCTTCTGAACACAAATGAAGATTATTTTAATAAAATCTGAGCAGTTTCTTTCCCATGACAACGTATGCCACTTTCAAGCCTTAGAAAGGTAGTTAAGACATTATTAAAGTAATCCATATGATTAGTGGTTTAACCTCAATTTGATTAAGTGACAAGTGCTTTGTTTGTGAGAACCCCTCCGCCACTTATTTACTTACCATAATACATGGTTGTTGTGTTGATGCAAGAGCAGACGTTGCATGAAAGCGCGTTGGAAATTAAATGTTAAATAGGTTTTTTGTTTGTTTGCGTAAACTAAGCACTTGCTTCGCTTCATAAAATTGAGGTTAAAACACTGGAGTCCCATCAATTATTTTAAAGATATCTTTTCTACCCTTCTGGGGCTGGAAAGTGAAACTGTGCCGATGGAGGGACAAAAATCTCTCAGATTTCATTTATGTTCCAAAGATGAACGAAAGACTTGCGTGTTTAGAACGACATGAGGATGTGTAATTAATAGCAGAATATTCATTTTTGGGTGAACTGTCCCTATAAGTGATTAGGCATGAAGTGAACTATACCATACAATGCTTTTCTTAGGGATGCAATTGTGGCAGAACTGGACAAAAAGATGGCTAAGAGTGTTGATGTTTCCAACACCACCTTCCTGCTGATGGCGGCCTCCATCTATCTGCATGAGATGAACACAGATGCTGCGTTACGTACCCTGCACCAGGGAGAGAGTCTGGAGTGGTGAGGCGGGAATTTTCATTAATAGTTTATGAGTGGGATTACAATGTATAAGTTGCTCACTGTCAATTTGTATTTCTCTTATAGCATGGCCATGACTGTCCAGGTACTTCTGAAGTTGGACAGAGTTGATATGGCAAGGTATTGTTTATTTATTTATTTTAGGTTTATAGCTTAGCTATTTGCAAACTTTTTAACCTGCTAAATATTATTTGACAATATATTATGTGGCCTAACTTTTTGGAAATCCATAAATCACTAGAACAATGTTATATACTTTGTTGACTTGTATACTTACAGTATCCCAAATGTTTCCAGTAATGTGTTTATCATATATTTATACATTCATTTTATTATTTTATTATTTTAACCAGTGTAAATAACATCCCGTATCATTGCGTCGCCTGTCAATGATGTCATATTTTTGGTGAAGACGACAACTCCCATGATTCCACGCTCTTTCACGGTGTCATCAAACTTTGTTATTGTTTGGAAAAAGCGACCTTTAGCGGCGAAACTTGCACACACTGTTCCTTTAATGCCTTTGAATGTGGTATTTTCATGGGTGGGTTGCGTTCACAGAAAGGAGCTAAAGAAGATGCAAGACCAAGATGAAGATGCCACTTTGACTCAGCTTGCTACAGCCTGGGTCAACCTTGCCATGGTGAGTATACAAGTCAATGTGAAATTCAAATAATTTACTTTCTTAATGGGCATTCTTGGTGCATGGATGACCTAAAGGAAAATAAAACGTTTTATTTGTTCATTATCTTTCATCAAAAAATAACTTTTCAGGCTATTGGGTAAAGTTAACTAATTGCCGAATTTATATTTAAGCATTATTTTTAGTCTAAAATCTATGATTTTCTTATTTTTTTTCCCACCAGATGGTCTTGCGTGCATTTGATTTGTAATACATTTGCTATAATTAATATTTTGAGTAGACAAATGGACAATTATGAGTTGAACATGGTCTAGTACCATAAAAGATTATGTCTCAAAGTATTAAAATAAAATATTGTGCATTCATTTCATTAAAAAATGATTACTTATTGTCTTCAATCTGTTTTGACTGCCGAGGTTTAATAGCCTTAATCATGAACAAATACAAACATGTATGCTATCCAAATACACCCATTTACTGCATATTTTTGCATATAGACATGCATTGTTGTAGCGAGCTGAAATCTCTGCATTTTCTTCAAATCTCTGCATGTCCTATCGCCTATTCAGTATTTGCTTGTTTTGCTGACTGATGTTTTTCCTTAGCGACTGGGAATTAAACGTCTTTCTCCTTCTTCTACCAACAGGGGGGTGAGAAATTGCAGGATGCGTTCTACATCTTCCAGGAAATGTCAGACAAGTACTCGCCCACACTGCTGCTGCTGAACGGTCAGGCTGCCAGTCACATGGCTCAGAATAAGTGGGATGAGGCTGAGTCAGTACTACAGGACGCTCTGGACAAAGTAAGAGCCTGGACTTTAGCACAGCAAATGCCAGGAAGTTTTGTCTCCCACTGCAAAACAAAAGTTTAACTTTGGTCCTGAGAGTCTGTGTAGCGAAAATACATTTGACAAGTATAGATTGATGGTTAGACTTTATTTCCATGGTCCACTTAGACATTATACTTACTATAAGTAACTTGCAACTACATGTCAACTTACTCAGAGTGTTAGTAGACCGTTAGGTTCGAGTTAGTAGAATATGGTGGCGTAGTTGTAAAGATATTTCTAGTCAGTAGATTGTCTGTTGGTGGAGCATCAAAATAAAGAGTTAGCAGAGTAGTTAGCATAATAGTCTACTAATACTCTAATGAGAGTCTGGTTGTGTTCACACTTGGCAAGGTTGGTTCGATTATAACGAACCCTGGTGCGATTGTTCTGTTAGTTCAGTTCATATGAATGAGTGTGAATGCTGCCATCTGAACCCTAGTAATGCCACCAAACAAGCGGGTTGACTTCACAAAAGCTGGTTAACTAGGTTGTGAACATATCCCTATACTTTCAGGTTCGGTGTTAAAATGCCAATATCAACGCTAAGCGGACCAGGACTACATGATTTTTTTTATTTGTTGGTCTGTAGACACACTCTTAGTTCACATGTAGTTGCAAAAATGACTTCTAGTTAGAAGAATGTCTAAAGTGGACCATCTAAATAAAGTGATACCAGATGACAAGTTGGCTGACAACTTTCATGCTGATCAAACATCCCAAACTCTTTTTCTGATCTGGGACAATTCTGCCTTATTTTTCAATTAGTCAAGTCACATTTATTTACATAGTGCCTAATCATTTATAAAACGCGTTCAATTCAAGCTCAGTTCAGTGTTGATTCAATTCAGTTCAATGACAGTGTCAATGTTGCAAAGTTGCTGTCATTAATATCCAGCTCAATCCAAATCAAATTTTCTTCTCATCGATCAGTGCAGTTAAATTGATATTACTAAATATACATTTTCTTGTAAATCCCATTAGTCTCTTATGCTGACCTATACAAGGTTGTAAATTGGATGCCATGAAGGGAAAATGAGCATTTTCCGGTTAACAACTACAATCACTGTTAAAGTCGAATCGAGAGTTTTTAATTTTGTTTTTGTCTATGTGGTGTTTTTTTCATATCCTTTGAGACAAACCATGGAAAAATTCATAAGTCATCACCATTGCTGAGTATTTTGTCCTTAAAATTGCAGTGGAAAAGTCTTAAACACGGTTTGAAATCTCCTGTGTTTCTTACTTCACCCTTCTTGCGACACAAACTACCTTGTAACCAATCACGTGAATGTATGGGCGGGCTTTAGCATATCAATAACTATGCTATGCTTTGAAGCAGGGCAGACTCAAGAGAAGCCAGGTTATCCTGGTATATTTTTCTGTTTATTTGAAAAATCATGTACATTTTGCAATATAGTGGGTAAATTATGTATATGATGATGTTATGATGAACTATATGCCTTCCACTGACTTTCTAAGTATTTCAAAGCGTTTTTCTAAGGATACTGATTTTTAGAAGGCAGCTGTCTGACTCAATAGCAACACATTATTAGCTGTTTGATAATGTAGTCAATCAAAAGGCTTATCATGGCTAATTATTTCTGTTATGTGTCCAGATCAGTCAGTGGTCCAGGTTTAACTGCAGAGAAATGTAATGACCTGTCCTTTATCTTCTATAGGACAGCAGCCACCCGGAGACACTCATCAACCTCATTGTGTTGACGCAGCATTTGGGCAAACCTCCTGAGGTAAGCTCCAAAAATGTAAATGTTAACATGTCAAGATTTTTTTTTTTTTTTATTCAGTGTATCTGAGTTTCACTTTACCTTGAGAAATCAACACATCTGCTTATATTGTTTGTGTTTCTGCACAGGTGACAAATCGATATTTGTCTCAACTGAAAGATGCACACAAGTCACATCCTTTTATTAAGGATTATCTTGCTAAGGTAAGGTGATTTAGTATACTACAGGACACCATTCTCATTTTGAAAACATATTGTGAGAGCATTTTCTAAACAACTGTGAAAAATAACCAATAAGTTTAATGTAAACTCAATTGTTTCCACAGGAGAATGAATTTGACAGACTTGCCATGCAATACGCACCCAGCGCCTGAAAGAAGTATGGTTCCTATTTATGTCTCCTACGCTGCAACACAATGTTAGTTCCTGTCTTCTATTTTTCAATGCCTTTAAACAAACTCATTTTGATGCTCTACAAACATTCCTGTATCATGGTTAAATAAAAATGTTTATCTTACATGGTGTTGCCTTATTGAGTACTCATTTTGCGTTTAAAAAAAGAGGTTTAAACAGCCTTCATAACACATCCGTTCACCTTACTGATTTCCAGTTCATAGAAGGGTATATATAAATATGGGGTAACATTTTTTTGGTCACTACAGCCGTGGCCAAAAGTATTAAAATAATTTGGTGCTTTGCAAAGTTTGCTGCTTCGGTATTTGTGCATTATTTTTTTCCAGGTTTCTGTGGTATACCGGAAAACAATAAGTATTTTGTACATTTTAAAGGCTTTTGTTGACAAAATATTCAATATGCAAATAGAGTCAATATTTACTGTGTTGACCCTTCTGCAAAACCTCTGCAATTCACTCTGGCATGCTGGATATAAACTATATATGGGTATTAGTTGCGCTTTGTCATTTGAAAATGTGAAAATGTGTTTGACTTTAATTACAAACGTAACTATATGACGACTTTTATTTTACTGTTTTTTGTAAACAACTGTTTGTCGTTTTTGGCAATCTAGGGTGTGGCCTGTATCCCACCCACCACGACCTTACAGGACACACCCTAGACCTAACGCCAAGTGTTGACTCGGGGTGAACTGCCAGCTCTGCCCATATATGAAATAATTATATTGTAAACTATTGTTTGTCATTTTTGGCAATCTAGGGAGTGGCCTGTGTCCCACCCACCACAACTTTACAGGACACACCCTAGTCCTAACGCGAAGTGTTGACTTGGGGTGAACTGCCAGCTCTGCCCATATATTAAATAATTATAGTGTTAACTTGAGGTGAACTGCCAGCGCTGCCCATATATAAAAAAACTATATATGGGTATTAGTTGCGCTTTGTCATTTGAAAATGTGTTTGACTTTAATTACAAACGTAACTATATGACGACTTTTATTTTACCGTTTTTTGTAAACAGTTGTTTGTCGTTTTTGGCAGTCTAGAGTGTGGCCTGTGTCCCACCCACCACGACCTTACAGGACACACCCTAGACCTAATGCCAAGTGTTGACTTGGGGTGAACTGCCAGCTCTGCCCATATATGAAAAAAACTATATCTGGGTATTAGTTGCGCTTTGTTATTTGAAAATGTGTTTGACTTTAATTACAAACGTAACTATATGACGACTTTTATTTCACCGTTTTTTGTAAACAATTGTTTGTCGTTTTTGGCAATCTAGGGTGTGGCCTGTGTCCCACCCACCACGACCTTACAGGACACACCCTAGACCTAACGCCAAGTGTTGACTTGCGGTGAACTGCCAGCTCTGCCTATAAATTAAATAATTACATTTGTAAACTATTGTTTGACGTTTTTGGCAATCTAGGGTGTGGCCTGTGTCCCACCCACCACGAATTTACAGGATACACCCTAGTCCTAACGCGAAGTGTTGGCTTGGGGTGAACTGCCAGCTCTGCCCATATATGAAAAAAAAACTATATCTGGGTATTAGTTGCACTTTGTTATTTGAAAATGTGTTTGACTTTAATTACAAACGTAACTATATGACGACTTTTATTTCACCGTTTTTTGTAAACAATTGTTTGTCATTTTTGGGAATCTAGGGAGTGGCCTGTGTCCCACCCACCACGACCTTACAGGACACACCCTAGACTTAACGCCAAGTGTTGACTTGGGGTGAACTGCCAGCTCTGCTCTTATATGAAATAATTATAATGTAAACTATTGTTTGTTGTTTTTGGCAATCTAGGGTATGGCCTGTGTCCCACCCACCATGACCTTACAGGACACACCCTAAACCTAACGCAAAGTGTTGCCTTGCCGTGAACTGCCAGCTCTGCCTATAAATTAAATAATTATATTGTAAACTATTGTTTGTCGTTTTTGGCAATCTAAGGTGTGGCCTGTGTCCCACCCACCACGACCTTACAGGACACACCCTAGTCCTAACGCGAAGTGTTGGCTTGGGGTGAACTGCCAGCTCTGCCCATATATGAAAAAAACTATATCTGGGTATTAGTTGCACTTTGTCATTTGAAAATGTGTTTGACTTTAATTACAAACGTAACTATATGACGACTTTTATTTCACCGTTTTTTTGTAAACAATTTTTTGTCGTTTTTGGCAATCTAGGGTGTGGCCTGTGTCCCACCCACCACGACCTTACAGGACACACCCTAGACTTAACGCCAAGTGTTGTCTTGGGGTGAACTGCCAGCTCTGCCCATATATGAAGCTCTGCTCATATATGAAATAATTATATTGTAAACTATTGTTTGTCGTTTTTGGCAATCTAGGGTGTGGCCTGTGTCCCACCCACCACGAATTTACAGGATACACCCTAGTCCTAACGCGAAGTGTTGGCTTGGGGTGAACTGCCAGCTCTGCCCATATATGAAAAAAAAACTATATCTGGGTATTAGTTGCACTTTGTTATTTGAAAATGTGTTTGACTTTAATTACAAACGTAACTATATGACGACTTTTATTTCACCGTTTTTTGTAAACAATTTTTTGTCGTTTTTGGCAATCTAGAGTGTGGCCTGTGTCCCACCCACCACGACCTGACAGGACACACCCTAGACTTAACGCAAAGTGTTTACTTGCGATGAACTGCCAGCTCTGCCTATAAATGAAATAATTATATTGTAAACTATTGTTTGTCATTTTTGGCAATCTAGGGTGTGGCCTGTGTCCCACCCACCACGACCTTACAGGACACACCCTAGACCTAACGCCAAAGGTTGACTTGGGGTGAACTTCCAGCTCTGCCCATATATGAAATAATTATATTGTAAACAATTGTTTGTCGTTTTTGGCAATCTAGGGAGTGGCCTGTGTCCCACCCACCACGACCTTACAGGACACACCTTAGACCTAACGCCAAGTGTTAACTTGGGGTGAACTGCCAGTGCTGCCCATATATGAAAAAACTATATATGGGTATTAGTTGCGCTTTGTCATTTGAAAATGTGTTTGACTTTAATTACAAACGTAACTATATGACGACTTTTATTTCACCGTTTTTTGTAAACAATTGTTTGTCGTTTTTGGCAATCTAGGGTGTGGCCTGTGTACCACCCACCACGACCTGACAGGACACACCCTAGACCTAACGCCAAGTGTTGACTTGGGGTGAACTGCCAGCTCTGCCCATATATGAAATAATCATATTGTAAACAATTGTTTGTCATTTTTGGCAATCTAGGGAGTGGCCTGTGTCCCACCCACCACGACCTTACAGGACACACCGTAGACCTAACGCCAAGTGTTGACTTGGGGTGAACTGCCAGCTCTGCCCATATATGAAATAATCATATTGTAAACAATTGTTTGTCATTTTTGGCAATCTAGGGAGTGGCCTGTGTCCCACCCACCACGACCTTACAGGACACACCCTAGACCTAACGCCAAGTGTTGACTTGCGGTGAACTGCCAGCTCTGCCTATAAATTAAATAATTATATTGTAAACTATTGTTTGACGTTTTTGGCAATCTAGGGTTTGGCCTGTGTCCCACCCACCACGACCTTGCAGGACACACCGTAGACCTAACGCCAAGTGTTGACTTGGGGTGAACTGCCAGCGCTGCCCATATATGAAAAAACTATATATGGGTATTAGTTGCGCTTTGTCATTTGAAAATGTGTTTGACTTTAATTACAAACGTAACTATATGACGACTTTTATTTCACCGTTTTTTGTAAACAATTGTTTGTCGTTTTTGGCAATCTAGGGTGTGGCCTGTGTACCACCCACCACGACCTGACAGGACACACCCTAGACCTAACGCCAAGTGTTGACTTGGGGTGAACTGCCAGCTCTGCCCATATATGAAATAATCATATTGTAAACAATTGTTTGTCATTTTTGGCAATCTAGGGAGTGGCCTGTGTCCCACCCACCACGACCTTACAGGACACACCGTAGACCTAACGCCAAGTGTTGACTTGGGGTGAACTGCCAGCTCTGCCCATATATGAAATAATCATATTGTAAACAATTGTTTGTCATTTTTGGCAATCTAGGGAGTGGCCTGTGTCCCACCCACCACGACCTTACAGGACACACCCTAGACCTAACGCCAAGTGTTGACTTGGGGTGAACTGCCAGCTCTGCCCATATATGAAATAATTATATTGTAAACAATTTTTTGTCGTTTTGGGCAATCTAGGGTGTGGCCTGTGTCCCACCCACCAAGACCTTACAGGACACACCCTAGACCTAACACCAAGTGTTAACTTGGGGTGAACTGCCAGCTCTGCCCATATATGAAAAAAATTATATTTGGGTATTAGTTGCGCTTTGTCATTTGAAAATGTGTTTGACTTTAATTACAAACGTAACTATATTACGACTTTTATTTCACTGTTTTTTTGTAAACAACTGTTTGTCGTTTTTGGCAAACTAGGGTGTGGCCTGTGTCCCACCCACCACGACCTTACAGGACACACCCTAGACCTAACGCCAAGTGTTGACTTGGGGTGAATTGCCAGCTCTTCCAATATATGAAATAATTATATTGTAAACTATTGTTTGTCGTTTTTGGCAATCTAGGGTGTGGCCTGTGTCCCACCCACCACGACCTTACAGGACACACCCTAGACCTAACGCCAAGTGTTAACTTAGGGTGAACTGCCAGCGCTGCCCATATATGAAAAAAACTATATATGGGTATTAGTTGCGCTTTGTCATTTGGAAAATGTGTTTGACTTTAATTACAAACGTAACTATATGACGATTTTTATTTCACCGTTTTTTGTAAACAATTGTTTGTCGTTTTTGGTAATCTAGGGTGTGGCCTGTGTACCACCCACCACGACCTTACAGGACACACCCTAGTCCTAACGCGAAGTGTTGGCTTGGGGTGAACTGCCAGCTCTGCCCATATATGAAAAAAAAACTATATCTGGGTATTAGTTGCACTTTGTTATTTGAAAATGTGTTTGACTTTAATTACAAACGTAACTATATGACGACTTTTATTTTACCGTTTTTTGTAAACAATTGTTTGTCATTTTTGGGAATCTAGGGAGTGGCCT